CAAGCCATGCTGTGGCAACATCCCATCCTGTAGAGGAAGATGGGCACGGATGTTAGCCCAGCGCCAATCTTCCTCAGCAAAAAGAGGAGGAGTGGCATCGGATGTTACCTCAGGGCTAATCTTCCTCACACAAAAAAAATAATAATAAAAATAAAAAGCAACTCCATTGTTTCAGTTGTGCAGGTGAAAAACTTTGGAGTCATCCTTAAATCCCCTTTCTCTCATATCCCACATCCAAGCAGCCAACAGGTTCTGTTGGCTGTGCGTTCAGAATCTGATTGCTTTTTATCACCTTCCCTATGACCACCCTAGTCTAAATCACTATCATCCCTCCCCTGGATTATTGCAGTAGACTCCCTGCCTCCACCCTTGCCCCCTTCAGCCTATTCACAGAGCAGCCTTTAAAAATTTCAGATCATGGCACTCTCATCTTCAAAACTGTACAATGCTTGAGACAATTTCCCATCTAATTCTGGATATAATGCTGACCTCAACTCTTAGGACTAATCCTTTCACTCACTTTACTCCAGCCACACGATCCCCCTTCTGTTTTGGAAACAGTGGAGGAAATGCTCCAGCCTCAGGGCCTTTGCACTTGCTGGTTCTTCTGTTTAGGACGCTCCTCTCTAAACATCTACAGGGCTGGGACCTTTCCTTCCTTCATGCCTTTTGCATATATCACCATATCATTGAGGCCTTCCTTCCCTGGCAACCAGCAACCTCCTCCTGCCATATCGTGCTGCCATTTTTTTTCTACAGCACTTATGACGATCTGACATACCGTGTCGACTCCATTAGGGCAGGGTTGTTGTCTGATTTAGGAAGTTCAAAGTTATTTCAGTAAGTGCACATTCTGTTCAGTTAGGTTCTATACAACTTGATCTAAAACTCAATTTTTGTTGATTTGTTTGGTTTAAGCAAAGAAATCTGTATTAAAACAATTCCTAAGAATTATATTTCAATTTTATAGGTCTCTGTATGCTTCCACATTCATATTCTAATTTATTCTTACAGAAGCCCCATATATTAGACAGAAGGAATGTTATTATAGTACTACAGTACGGAAAGATTAAAAAATAGATTGATAAGGTTCAAGGGAGGGAAAGACAGGGCAGAGGTCACATGTCTTTTTTCAAATTCCACATCATCTTGTGGATTTTTGCTATCAACAGCTGTAGTTGTAGAAGACATTGTCACTTCATCCACAAATCAAACCTCCTGGTTCAACAGTTTCTACTTATATCAATTAAAGAGATTCAGGTAGTAGCAAAATTTAAGCTTTAGTCTGATAAAGCTGTTTCTTCTACCTTTGCTTTAATTTGTTCACGCGCTTTTCGTTTCTTTCAACCTTCTTTTAGATTTTCTTGCCCCTCTTCTGAACTGTACTTCCCCTAAACTTTCTTACAGCAGCTACACATTTGTTTTTTCAGTAGCAATTACAATTTTCTGTTGATTAATTGAACATTAAACCAGTCTGATCCTACATGATATGCTGATAAATACTTCCTTTTCTCAGTAGTTATCCTTCCACGTGTATTTCGTTAATGGCATGAATAAGATAGCAAATAACAAAAGAAGACTTGTAAGTTATCTATATATTATACAGTATATGATGTTTAAATAGTTAACATTTTTGTTATAAGGCACATGATGTATGGTTAAATATTTATTTAACATTTTAATGATGATGAGAACTAGCACCTGTAATGAGAAAATTAGTTTCATGCTGAGATTCAAAATGGGCAATTCAGACAGACACTAGCAGAAAGGAGGCACATACCCCTTTAACTTGAGCTGCGTCATTGGCAAGCCTGGTAGTCAATGCTCCAGTGGTGTTTTTAGGGTTATCGAACCAGCTCACATCCTGTGGCACAGAAAACGATGTTAGGATCTTAAAGCCCTGTTTATGAAACTCTTGGTGCCGGGGACAGTGACAGGGTCTGCTCTGATTATCACTTGTATCTCTTGCATATAGCACTCAGGATTTGACACTCAACAGATGAGAAAGGGACTTAGACAAACACATAAATAATTTCCCTTGTCAAAAATTTTTTTGAGTGCCTCCTTTGTTCCAAATGTGATTTGTAAGCGTTGGATCTATACAACAGTGAACAAGAAAGACAAAGTTGCTGCTTTTGTGAAGCCTAGATTCTAGAGATGAAAGCCACAAGTAAATTAATATATACCATGCTAGGTGGTAATACATGCTATGAAGAAAAATAGAGCAGGATAAGAAGGAAAAAAGTAAACACACTATTTTATAGATTGGGGAGGGGACTGAGAAGGACTCTCTAAGGTGACATTTGAGCAGAAACTTGAATGAAGCGAGGGATGAGAATATCTGAGATAAGGAAGAACAGCATGTGCAAAGGCCCTGAGGCAAAGGCATACTTGCTCTCTTCATGCACTGGCAAGAAAGCCTTAAGGGTGGCCACTAGCCTTGAAAGCTGTGTGAAATTGTAAAAGCTGCCTCTTCCTCTGAACAGGTTTCCATTCTCACTTGGTTCTCCCACTCTCTCCCTCTCATACCTTTCTGCACTAAGCCAGTGTGTATAGAGTAGACTATGTACTGAAAAAGGTGTGAAAATGTAGGAGATGAGGTCTTAGAGGCAATGGGGGCCACATAATTTATGACCTTATAAGGAACTGTAAAGATTCCAGAATTTACTCTCAGAGATATGGGTAGCTTTCAGCAGGTTTTGGGCAGAGAGATGTTTTGGCTTATATTTTAGAAGAAAGGCTGTGGCTCCTGGGAGGTGAACCTACTGGATTGGGATAATGATGGAGGCAGTGAGACCAGTTAGGAGGCTATTGTAATATGAAACAGAAAGAGAGGAATCAAGGATGACTCCAGGGTTTTTAGCTACACAACTGGTAGAATGGAGCTGCCATTTACTAACATAGGAGAAGACCAGGTAAGGAGTAAGCCCTGTGGCGAGGGGAGAGTCACAAGTTCAACTGTGGAAATGTTAGGTATAAAATACTTATTAGACATCCAAATAGAAGTGTAGAATAGGCAGTTAGATAACTGTAGTCTAAGGCAAAATAAATAAATTGGGTTAAAAAAATTTCTTAAAGTACAGATTAAAATTTAACATTCAACATGAAATAGGATTTTCTTTGTAAAACCACTTATGTTTTAAAATATACAAATACTAAAAAGATTGTGAGTTTGAAATATGAATTTGTGTTGGCTACAAAAATAACTATGGTACTAAGAAGTTATCTGAACTGGTGATTTGAATTAAGCAGTATCTATCATTTTTTCCCCCAAATATTTAAGAAAAAGCCAAGCATTATCATTGATAACACTGTGTATCAGTTTGCTTTTTAAAATTGTTCAGTGCCTCCCCGACTGGAATATAAATTCCTTGCAGACAGGGACCATTTGGATCTGAATGCCTTACGACACTTAGTATTGTGCTTTGTAAACAGAAAGCACTTAATGTATGATAGCCAGACATAATCACTTATGGAGAGGGCATTACACAAACCATCAGCTCGGCTTCCAAATTATAATAGACCTGGGAGTTAGCCTGGAGGCTGGGGGGGTAATGGGGCATTTGGCCCAGGACCAAGGTCAGCGTCGAGCCTAAGTGGAATCTTAGTTACAAATATGGTTTGACTGTGAGTCCTAGGACACGGCCCGCCATCAAACAGTGCTATCTCACTCATTAGATTGAAGGCTGGCTCTGTTACTCACTAGCTAGCAATTTCCATAAATATGTCTTCTTTCTAAGTGGTGCTGGGAGGAGTGGGAAAAGACTGAGGAACCAAAGACAGCTGAGAAAATGTGAATGTCATCTAGAAATCCTAATACAGCAAACTGACGCTTCTCAGCCAGGGTTCAGTTACCCCTGCCACATCCAGAGAATCCTTCTAGAGCATCATTTGATTCACTGCCAAGTCATTAGTGATTTTAAAATGGAAAGTTATAAAGTCACATACAAAATTGTTATGATTCTTAAAGAAACTTTCCCCTTTGACCTGGCTGCTTTGGGTTACATTCCCAGAATCCCTCCTTCCCATTTCCCCAGAAAAACATTCACATCTGCCTGTTGTT